ATCTCTTTGAGAGTTCATCCCCCTGGGAGTTCATGGAACTCCTCAGATATGTAGATCCATGGTTTGCTTCAAATTTGGGAAGTTTTTGGCCATAGTTTCCCCAATATCCTTTCTGCCTGTTCCCTTTCTCCCCTCCCGCTGGGACTCTCACTGTGTGGATGCTGGTACACTTGATGGTGCTCCACAGGGCTCTCAGGCTCTGTTCGTTTTTCCTTATTTTTTCTTTCTGTTCTTCAGACTGGAGAATCTCAAGTCACTTATCTTCAAGTTTTCTGATTCTTTCTTCTGCATCCTCAAATCTGCTGTTAAGCCTCTCTGGTGAATTTTTAATTTCAGTTATACTTTTCAAACTCCAGAATTGCTATTTGGTTCTTTTTAATACTTTCAATCTCTTAATTTAATACTTTTAATATCTTCTATTTGGTGAGGCATTGTTCTTGTACTTTCCTGTTGCTCTTTAGACACGGGTTCCTTTAGCCATTTGAATATATTTGAAATAGCTGATTTAAAGTTTTTGTCCATTATGTTCAACATCTGAGCTTCCTCGGTGACAGTCTTTATTGATTAATTTTCTCCCCTGTGTATGGGCCACACTGTCTTGCTTCTTTGCATGTCTTGTAATTTTTTGTTAAACACTGGACATTTGAAATAACATAACATGGCAACTTTGAAAATAGATTCCAAAAGTTTGTTGTTATTGCTGCTTGTTATAGCTGTTGCTGTTTGTTTCATGACTTTCTGAACTAATTCTGTAAAGTCTGTATTCTTTGTCACATGCGGCCACTGAACTCTCTTCTCAGTTAGCTTAGTGGTCCGCTTCTGACTGGACAGAGATTCCTTAAACACTTGAAGCCGACAGATCCCCGTCTATGCTGATGAGCTCTGTGTGCACGCTGAGGCATGCCCTCAACACTCAGCCAGGAGTTGACCACTCTGCCTTAGCCATCATCCCCTGCGTGTGTGGGGCCTTACGGTCAGCCAGAGGTGAGAGCTTAGGGCCTTCTCATGTCTATTCTGAGCATGTGCACATCCCTGGGCATGTGCCCAGCCCTACACACATACATGGCCTTCTAGATTCCAAGGAATATTTTAGGAACTTTTCAAAGCCTCTGTGAACATCTCATTCCCTGGCTTTTCCTTTTAAGCTTTCTGTGTAGTCTATTGGTTGCCCCAACTGTTACCCACTGTCTCAAGCAGCCACAAAGTTAAGACACTTGCTCGTAATTGTTTTGGACAAATGTCCCCCCCTACTCTGAGGAAAGGGTTTTTTGTACCTGAGCTGTCTCTCGGTCAGTTCAAATGCAAACAGTCTTGTAAGTGAGGTCTTCCAGGGGACCCGCAGGCAGCTCAAATAAAGATAATTCTTTGGGAGTGAGGCTCTGAAAATGCTCCAGCCCTGTTCTGCTCTCTGTAGAGGCTGCTAATCTGCACTGAGAATGCAGGCTGTTATCGTTCAAGGCTACTGGGGGTTGGAGAGTGGCTGACAGACTACGGCAAGTTAAAACGTTGCTAAACTTGTTGTTCCTGATAAGATTCAGCTGCTTTTCTTGAGGAAATGCTTCTTGAGTTCCTGAAACATTTGGTTAATTTCTAGAATTCTGAAAAAGTTGATGCTCACAATTTTTGCCAGTTTTCTGGTTGCTTTTTTGGAGAAGAGAATTTTCAGAGGCCCTTACTCTTCCAATTTTGCTGATGTCACCTCTATGTTTCCATTTTATCTCCTCTATTGAACTATTGTTTTGACTTTTTAAAAGTATATTTAAAAACATGCATTTTTCAATGGTTTCTCTATAGTTTAGAAATACATTTAAAAATAATCCAGGTCTCTCTCTAGATAATATCATACTGCTTCACATGTGGTGTAATAACCTTGTAACAGCACATTCTGAATTCCTCCTTCCCCTCCCTTGTGCAATTGTTGTCGTGGTTTTAAAAATGGTCTAAACACACAATACATTATTAGAGTCGTTGCTTTAAACAGTTATCTTCTAGAACAATTTAAAATATAAAAAGATTTTATTTTAACTTTATTTCATTTCTGATGCTCTTCATTTCCGACTTGATTCTGTTCCTTCTGCCTGTAGAACTTCCCTTAGCATTTCTTTTAGAGTAGGTCTGCCGACAATGGGTTCCCTCAGGTTTTATGTGTCTATGAAATTCTTTATTTCTCCTTATTTTTGAAGGCTATTTTGCTGGTTACAGAATTTTTGCTTGATAATTTTTCCTTTCAGCACTGTTATCTGTTACTCCATTGCTTTCTGGATTGCATGGTTTCTAAAGAGAATTTTGTCATAATTCTTATCCTTGTTCCTCTCTCCTCTGTACATAAAGTCTTTTCTTCTCTGTCTTCATGATTTTTTTCTTTGTTTTTTTTTCGGGAGTTTGAATATGATATGCCTAGGTGTGTGTGTGTGTCTGTGACACAGAGAGAGAGAGAGAATCTAGCCTGATTCCATGAGCTTCTTTTCTCTGTAGTTTAGTGTCTGTCACTAATTTTGAAAAATTCCCAGCCGTTATTTATTCAAATATTTCTTCTGCCTTATGTTCTCTTTCTTCACAGTTTCCAACTATGTGTGTTAGACCATTTCATATTGTTGCCCCTCTCTTGGATATCCTGTTACGATTCTTCTCTTTGCATTTCGATTTGGGTCCATGCCATTGGTCTGTCTTCAAGCTCACTCATTCTTTCCTTGATGTGTCCAGTCTACCGAGGAGCCTGCCAAAGGCGATCTTCATTTCTGTTACTGTGCTTTTTGTTCCTAACATTTCCATTTGATTCTTTTTTACAGTTTCCATCTCTGCTGAAATTTCCTATCAGATTGAGTGCATTGTCTAATTTTTCCACTAGAGCTTCAACATATAAATGTGTTATTTAAAATTTCTTTTCTAATAGTTCCAAAATCTGTGTCACATCTGAGCTGATTCTGATGATTGCTTTGCCTCTTCAGACTGTGTTCTTTTAAATTGCCTTTTGGCTTCGGGGAGAAGAAGAAGAAGAAGAAAAAAAGATTGGCAATAGATATTAGCACAGGTGCCAAACTTTTTTTAAAAAAGTAAATAAATAAAAAATAAATTGCCTTTTGTCATGGGTCATAATTTTTTACCATGCTGTGGGCATCGTCCGGCGGGGCCCAGCGGGCTTTCCTGTGTGAGGGCAGGAAGAAGCCGCTCCGGCCTTGCAGGCTGCACAGTCTCTTCTTCTTGCTCTTTCCCTTGTTCTCTTCCTCCTCCTCCTTCAACCCTTAAAACATGTAAAAACCATCCTAGGCTCAGGGACTGTACACAAACAGGCCACAAGCCCTATCGGGTCCCCTGGCTGTGGTTTGCAAACCGCCGCCGTACAGGCAGTAGACACCGAGGTAAGGATTTTTATGATTAGAGAAGAATACGCCTTTCTCCCGGTGGGGCCTCAGTGTGGGGCTTGGGTGAACCTCGTGAGGAGCCAGACTAGGTTGAAGTTTGCTCCAGCTGGCTGTGGGTCTTCCTCAGTGCTGCTCCCTCGAGAGGTGGTGTCTCCTGTGGCTCTCCCAGCTGTGCCCCACGTCACCTATTGCATGATTGTCGGTGTGGTGGTGGTGGAGGAGGGGGTGGGGGTCTCTGAGGTTCCGATTCAGCCTCAGTCGTGCCGGCACTGTAAGCACCCCCAAGTGGTCCTGTCTCCCTCAGATGGAGAGCGGATAGTGTGGGTTTCTGCCTCTCCTCCAGGAACAGAGCTTTTTATTGTCGTTTCTGTTCCCCCACCTGCACTGGGTTCGGACCAGAGCCCGCAGGCTACCGTTCTGTCATCCTTCTGCTGCACATTAAGCTTTCTGCTCCCTGTGAGAGATGGGGAGATGGGTTCTGGCAGAGTTTCAGCCGTGGCTGCTGTTCTCCTCTTCCAGCCCGCATCACGGAGGAGCTGGGAGGGAGGAAGCATTCTCTGGATTCTCCCTCATCTCTGTGAGCTCCTCGTGCGGCTCCCGGAGGATGCGAACACCCCTATGTCTGCAGCCCCTGGAACCTTCACATTCTTAGGCTAGTCCACATTTGGTCTTTAGCAATTTGCTAAAATTTTCCAGCTGAACCCTCTTACTGGCTCCTGCGGTGTGTGGTGGTGACTATCCCAGGTCAGCAAATGCTTGGGCGCATTTCTGCCTGCAGGCACCTGTCTCCCTTGGACCTTAGTGAGCTGTTTGTGGTGGCCCCCACTCTTGGGTAGGCTCAAGAAGTCATTTGTTTGCATTCTGTCCTGTCATACAGGTGCGTGATGCTCTTCTCAGGTCTCTGCATCTTGGAGTCAAGACCACAGGTGCTTCTCCCGCCTCTGCTGTGTCACGCTTGCTAACAGCTCATTGGCCCAAACAAGTCACGTGGCTGAGCTTGGCTTCAGGAGGGGGAAATAGACATCACCTCTTCAGAGACGGGAACTTCACGGTCCACAGGTAGAGGGATGCACACACCACGGGGGGACGAGAGGGACCATTAGTTCTGAGACGAGGGGCTCCGTGGGGCTGGAGAGACAGGCACTCAGATCTTCCAACACATGGGATCAGAGGATGCTGCCCCAGCTGGGTGGGGCTCGGGGAAGGCTGCCCAGACCTGAGACACCTGAATGGATACAGGCCCCGGAAAGAGAAGGAGGAGGGGCTGGTATGCCCATCTAGGCTTATGGTGCGGCCCCCTGGCTGAGAGTCTGAGGGCCGTGGAGCCCACCCCTCTCCCGACCCCTTGCTGAAATCCTGTCCTGTGGTCTGGCTCCGGGCTTCGAGCTTAGGGCTGGGGCTCTGCACGCTGCCATCGACCCAGGGCTGCCCGCACCAGGGCCCTGACCCCTCCCTCTCTTTTGATTGTCGGTGGCCTACTGTCTTGGGGGCTCCAGGGGCAGGTCTGTGTTTGACTCCTGGGCCTGAAATGGAGGAGGGGCTCCAGGCACCCAGCAGGCGCTCACGAATAAACGCTCCAGAAGTTCTGAGTTTTTACCTACTCTGTCATTGGCGGTTCTTTCAAAGTCTAGAGGATTGTTCCTGCAAAGATTAACATTTTTATTTGCTCAAACTAACCAGTGAGGGTCCTGAGGCTCAGTGGGCAGCCCCGATCCCTCCGGCAAGGCTGGCGCCGGTGCCAGAGCCGCAGGGCAGCGCGGAGCCCGCTTAGCTGCCGGGAAAGGTGCGGGCCTGGGTGGGTGGGGGCTGTTTCTGGAGACCCCCTGGAAAGTTCACGAAGCCCCGGCTACATGTGAGTCCTGGCCCAGCCCGCTGCCCTCTGTCCTTGGGGTGCCCTGCAGGCGCCTACTGGAGGAAGGCCCGGAGGAAGTCGTTGTAGGAGATTTTGGAAGTCAGCGTCTTGTCGTAATACTCCAGGATGTGGAAGAACTCCTCCTCCGACAGGTTGACGCTGTACTGCCTCAGGACCTGCAAGACGGGCGGGGCTGCCAGGAAGGGGCTGCGGCCGCACCCGCCTCTCCTCGGCCGGAGTCTGAGGATCCCACCTCCAGAGGTGCCCCCAGCACCTCGACCCCCTGCTTCTGCCCTCACCACCCCCGAGGGCAGCCCCCAGCGTGCACCGTGGGTGTGAAACAGGAAGAGGCCTGGGCCTGCCGTCAGATGGGGCTGCTGGGCCTCCCCACCCCCAGCCCCCCCGGAACAGGAGGTTAACCACCATCGCTCCCTGAAGGGCAGTGAGGCTGGCCCACATGTTCAGACAAGGCGGATGGACAGAGAGGAGGGGAGACTGGCCACAGGGCCCTGACTGGGGTGCGGCCTCGGGGTGCGGCCCACCCAGGAGGAGGACAGGGCTGGCAGGTGTGGGCTCAGGGAGCTGCTATGCCTTGACAGTAAGGCAGCCAGAGGCAGAGCCTGCTGGTTGCCCACCTGCGATCAGCTGCCCCTTCCTTCTTAGCTAACAGAACCCTGACTTTCTTCAGGCTGCTTTGCGTCCGCTGAAAGGGGGCCTTTCTCGGCCTCTCTCGTGGCTCGGTATATTCGGGCCAGTTGAACCTACGTGAGAATGTTATGGGGACTCCTGGGAAGCCTCCTCTAAAGAAAGGGGGCATGCCCTTTTTCTGTCGCCTTTTTCTCTCTGCTGCCTGGAATATGCAAACGATGCTGGGGCTCCAGCAGCCATCTTGGACCACAAGGCAATCTTGAGGAAGGAAGCTAGGTTTTGAGGCTGGTAGAGCAAAAACAATCATGTCTCTGATGACTGTCCAGCACCATGCCAGCTCTGGACGTCTTTTATGTGAGAGAGAAATGAACTTCCACCATGTTTAAGCTGCTCTTATTTTTGTGCTGCTGTTACATGCAGCTACAACAAATCCCAATAGATAGGTACCCTAGTAAGTAAAAATAAAGATTAGGTTCTAAATTTCCTGGCTACGTTTTGCGTTGTAATTTGTCTCTAAGGGGAGACTAGAAACTGCTGCTAGAAGACCCTGAGGTTCCCCCAGGGCCAGCAGCAGGCCTGGCCCCAGGCCCACGGGGCTGAGGTTAGCTGACCTGGTTATGGGGCCGAAGGGCTGAGAGCAGGAAAGGAAACAGGGCCCAGGTGTGGGAGAAGGGCCTCAGTCACACGCACGTGGTCTCCGATTCCCCCTCTGCGGAGGCCATGTCTCCATTTCTGCGGTTCCCGCCCACTGCCACCCGCCCCAAATTCCTGGGAAGCTGCAGGAAGAGGAGACCGACAGGGCCTCATCGTACTTCCGTCTTTGCGTGGAGACCACGGGACAGACCCTGGCTGAGATTTTTACTCGACCCCAAAGTAAAGACAAACGAGGTGAGTTGGGAAGCCACTGCGGGGCCACGGCGGGCGGACGACCGGGAGGCGCAGGTGTTCACCCTCTGGGCCTCGCCACCGCAGCCGCCCTCCCGCCCTGCCCGCCAGCCACCGCCGTTCATCTTCCTGCCTTATTCTTTAAAAGAAAGACTTCTCCTTTTTTTAATCTAAGTTTCCAGCTGAAGTGGAGAGGAACCCAAGGAACACATTTTCTGTAAGCGTGCTTTGAGGCCATAACCCTTTGTCTCTCTGAGGTCTTGACTGAGTTTTTTTTTCCTGACTGTAATATGTGGTTTTTTTAATCTAACGTTCCAGGCCTCAACTATCTTTTCAACCTCAGTGGCTGGTGGGGATGGGGGCGGGGAGGGAGTGGGGGCAAGAACCTGCTAATTCAAGGAGTTCCATGTTATTCTAAAAGTGGGCGTTTTAAGTCGCCCTGGAGGCTGGCGGTTTCTTTCCTCCGGGAGAACCACACTGCAGCTTCTGCACGGACAGTGGGGACTCCGCTCCGGAGGGGCGGCCACAGGGCAGCTCCACAGACCGCGCTTCCTCTCGGGGGGCCAGGCCGCAGCAGAGTTCAGACTGCAGGGGACAGCCGCTTAGCCACACTGCTGAGGGAGGGAGGGGAGCGGCCTCGCCACAGGGAGGGCAGCTGGGGGACAGGGGAGGGGTGCCAGCGGTGGCTGGGGTCTGTGGGCCCTCTGAGAGCCCCCTTGATGTTGCTGTTCTGCCCAGGGGGGTCTGGCGAGGCCAGGGGAAGGCCCTCCTCGGAGGGGCCCAGCCAGGGCTCCCAGCTCAGCAACAGCGCTAGTGGAGCCCTGAGGGCAGCTGGGCTCCGGGGGTGGGGGGGGGGGCCCTGGGGAGCGTCCCGCGGGGTGCTAGAACCCTTCAGGGAGGAGAACCGGGGTCTGCAGGTGAGGGGCATCAGGCTTTGAGACCTGGGGGCCCCGAGGAAGTGAGGTCTGGGAGACGGCCCACACCTGGGCCGTTGGCAGGTGCGGGGTGGGGTGGGTCCCCTTTGGAGGTTTTCTGACCACCGGCCTTTGCCAATCACTCCCTGTTCAGAGGCAATGGACGCACAGGAGCTGCGCTCACCTGCCTGAAGTCAGCCACGCTTAGCAGCCCCGTGCTCCCTTCGTCGTAGGCTTTGAACGTGCGCCGCATCGGCCTCCAGCAGTGCACAATTTTGGGTTGAATGCGCAGCAAGGCGGCGTAAAAGGAAGAAGTCTCAGCACCAGCTTCTTTCTGCAAAAAAACAACCGCGACCAAGAGTGGTGAGAAAAGGGCTTCTGAATGGGGAGGAGAGCGGGCGGGGCCCTGCGGGGGTGGAACTGGCTCTGAGCCCCTCCTGGGGTCTGCTCTAGGCCCCAGCCCGCTCCACAGGCTGCTCCTGGATACAACGGAGCCTGCGAGCGGGACTCACGACAACAACGGCACCGTCACCGTGCCCTCTGTCCGTCACCCGTCCGTGTGCGGGGAGTTTGAAAACACCGTCTCATTGACACCATCCCTCTCACCCCAGAGTCTTGATCCCACGTCATGGACCAGAAAACAGAGGCTGGGGAGCAGAAGGGCAGGGTGAGGACAGAGGGGCTGTTTGGCCCCACACCTGCCGGGCCAGGGCCCCTCCCAGGGAGCTCCGCCAGGCGCAGACACGGGCCATTTCAAAACCGTTTGAGGAAAAAAAGAGACCTCAGTTTGGGTCTTCTAGTGGGTTATTATAACAAACAGAGTCTCAAAAACCCGCAAGGTTGTAATTACAACTAGTCATTAGACGGCACACTGCACTGTGATTATTTCATTTAGGTGCTGTTAGATGGAAAACAAGATATTTTAGCATGATTTAGCCCCAACACATGTCTGACTATCACAGAGGTGAACGGCGGGCAACAATGTGGAACGCATTTTGGGAGAGTTTAATTCTATCAGGGTGCCACACAAACAGAGTAGCACAGAGTTAGAGTGCTTTCAAGTTTTACATCCTTTAGCTCCCATGATGGAGACTCACGACACACCCCACAGCCTCGTCGGCTGCCAGCCTACCCCGTCAGCGGGTCCGCATGCACGGAGGGGAGAGGATTCTGTGCTCACTGGCTCTTCCCACACCCAGCCTGGCTTGAGAAAGGGTTTTCCCTCCCAGCACAGTCCACGAACCATCCAGAAGTCCTCTGCCTCCCTCTCTAGCTTTGTCCGAAAAGGCAGCGCCCCAGCTCGCTTCCCCAGAGGGGCGTCTCTCTGCCAAGACAGCCCCCAAAGAACTAGAGGAGGAAACGGCCCTCTTAGCTTCTCTGCAGGGAGACTGCTGAGCTGAGCTCCACGCTTGTATGGTGGGGGCCTTGGCAGCCGGCAGCGGGGACAGGACTGGGACAAGGACCAGGCAGGGGCAGGCGCTTGGCGCTGCGCTGGCCCCTCTCTCCTAGGAGAGCTCCTGGGGGAGGAGGTCTTGCCGCCTGTCAATCAGGGTGGGGATCTGGGGTCCGGGGATGGAAGGTTCGACTGTTCTGGACCACACAGGGGCAGCTGTAGTTGGTTTTGGGTGAAAAGACCAGAGCTGGGGGGTGAGGCAGGAACACACAGGAGGTGTGCTGGGACATCCGCCAAGAGGCCCTGCTCCCAGGGCGGCCGTCCCAAGTCCCTCTCACTTCACGTAAACGCAATCTCAGTCCCACACTCCGAACAGGCCAGGCCAGCCTTTCTGGGCCTCAGGGAAGAAGGGCAGTGCGTCTGGAGGCAGGGTGGCCTCTGTGCAGGGGAGGGCTCGGAAGGGGGCACCAGGGTGCTCTCCCCAAATGGGCCACCCCTCACAGGGCCTCAGAACCCAGCAGATCTCCCCCTCGCTTATGGAAAGGGAAACTGAGGCCCAGAGAGGTGGAGGACGGCCGGAGCTGGCAGCGACCTTTCTTGTAGGCCGTGCAGTCTTCATGGTTCTCCAGCTACGTTCCTGGACCCGTGAAGATCTCATGACAAGAGCCTCTTTTCTGCTCACAGAGAAACTGAACTAGAGAAAGAACTGTCTTAATTTTAAGTTTTTCTTCCGTAACTTGGCCTAAGCCTTTGATGCCAGCTCTTGCTCGTCTCAACTAGAAGCTGCTTTAAGATGGTACCCAATTTTGCACAAAATTTAGCTGTGCAGAAGCTTTCTGCATGGACCCGACTGTTTGCTGGGTTACCCAGTATGCCCCTGTTGCTTCAGGAGTGCTCTGGGGCCGGGGCGGGGGCCTGTCAGGTCTGCCCCACACCTCTGGGCCCTGCAGCCGAGTCCTAAGGTGGTCAGAATCAGCTGTGTTCGTTCCCCAAATTGACAGCGCCAGTTGAACTTACTTAATTCAGTGGAACTTAATTCACTGTTACAGATGACGGAAGATGAGCATGAAAAACCCTATTTTTGCTTCATGTTTTGGAAAGGCTTGAGAAATGCAAGTCACTGAGAACACTGTGGGTGAGAATCATAATATTACAAATGATTGAGAAAAAAGGTAGAAATCCAGAAGAACATTGCCCTCCAGTTGCTATTTAAGCATCTTTAGGTTCTCACTCCTCTTCAAAGAAACAAAAAGAAAATTGTTGACAATGCATCGTGGGTGTAGTTTACACAAGAGAGATGATGAGACTCTATCCCACACCCCATACCCCACGCCCCACCCGAGCAAAGGGCCTGGCCTGTCTCAGGTGGTGCGTGAATGCATACACGTTTACGTTTGGGTTAACGGCGTTTCCCTCTGCTCTGCCCCCACCGCTTTGCCCTTTCAGGGAACCGACCCTTCGCTGCTCCTGGTGCGTTGTGTGAGCAGCGGACACTGTTCCTGACCGTCTGCCCTACAGATGCTTCCGGGTGCTCTGGGGGAGCCATGACAATCAGGTGTCTGCCACCCGAACGAGTTTGAGAACCTGGGATCCAGGCCACTGGTTCCCAGACTGGGGTCTCCTGACCTTTATGGGGCTCCAGAGGAGAGAAAGAAAAATCTTTGAATCATTTCCAAGAAAGTAACTCTGAGCTGTTTGCCGTGTTCCCACGGCCCAGTGGAGATCTGACCTTGACCCACGCCTCGCCCTTGCATGGGCTCCCTGACACACCAGGCAGCTCTGGGCTCATCAGACAGACCTGGTCGCCGAGCGCTCATCTGAACACTGCCTGGCACTGCGCAGACCCTCTAGGAACTGAGGGAACAGGGCAAGAGAGGATCGCTTGACAAGTGTGTACGCACACACGTCACACGTGTACATGCATGTTATACAAGGGCAACAATGCATAGTGCGTACACGCACATAGCACATGCATGCAGTACACATATCCCACGTGTACATGCAAATATCAATATCATACACGTGTGACACATATTGTGCGAATACACGCACATAGCATGCACGTGACAGACATATACATCACGTGTACAGGCATCTATCGCACACATGTGATACACATGTATATCACATGTATGTGGAGGAAATCTGAGCGGGGGTCCACGGGGAGGCGGCAGTGAGGCCAGGGACATTTGACAGGTGGGTCGGCACCGGCCAGCGGCCCTCCTAGAGCCTGTGTCCGCCGTATCCACCACCTGTATAAAGCAGGATGATCTGAATTTGTGATGAATTAAGAAAAATGGAAGGGACCCCTCTGACCCTGGCCCACGGGTTTCTAAGGGCGGCTTACGCACCATCTTATGGGCGTTCTGGATCTTCATCCTCCGCATCACGGAGGTCTCCTGGGCTTTCAACAGGAGGACGCAGCTCTGGACGAAGTCGCAGTAGGCAAACCGCCCGCTGTTCTTCAAGTCATACTTCACCAGGAGCTGCTGGCACTCCTCTCTGTTCACGTCCAGGTTGAATTTCTCCACGAGAGCTAGAGACAAAAATGCCAGTTCAGTTGGTGGGAATTCATTCATTCATTCATTCATTCATTCATTCAAGCCTTGCTGAGAGGCTTTCTCTGCTGTGGGCCCTGGCTGGGTCCCGGCTTCACAGGCTCACAGCCGGTGGCCGGACAGATATGGAAACAGACAGGGACACGACGAACTAAGTGCAGTAAGGAGGGAGGGGGACCCTGAATCCTGGGGGGCCCCCTACCCCGGCGTTTGCCTGCTGTCCTTGTTTAGCATGGTCATCACTGCTGTGGGCACGGCAGTACGGCCAGAGTGCTGTGGGGGCTGCGACTGAAGAGCAGGCAGGGAGCGAGGGAGGGAGGAGAGCCACTGCTGAGAGACCGGAGCTGCTGGAGCAAGACCGGGAGTCAGGGCAGAGCCGTATGAGGCGAGGGGCGTGTCCACGTGCTGGGCTGGGGCCCGGCTGTGCGGTGGGAGGGCAGACTCTGGGCAGGCAGTTTTCAACTGGGCTTCGAAGATATGCTCTCAACAGTCTGTCAGGCTACACGAAGTCACACATTTTGAGTTTTCGTTCCAATGACACTCTAAAATGTACAAAATCTATTCTGGAATCACGGACCACTCTTCAGAGACAACTGCTGTGCAGTTCCAGGGTTTGTGTCTGGCTTTCTTTCTTTCTTTTTTTTTTTGAGGAAGATTAGCCCTGAGCTAACTACTGCCAATCCTCCCCTTTTTGCTGAGGAAGCCTGGCCCTGAGCTAACATCCACACCCATCTTCCTCTACTTTATATGTAGGACACCTCCCACAGCATGGCGTGCCAAGTGGTGCCATGTCTGCACCCGGGATCCGAACCGGCGAACCCGGGGCCACCGAGAAGTGGAATGTGCAAACTTAACCGCTGTGCCACCGGGCCGGCCCCTGTTTGTGCATTTTTAAGCCGTGGTTATCATAAAATTAATTTATATTAATATTGCAGGTTCTCAAGAAAAACATTTTCCTTAAAAAGGGGTTTATGCAGAAGTCAGGAAGTGGGGAGCCGAGGGGCTTTTGCGTAGAGAAGGGATGCGGTCAGACTGATGTTCCTGTAACGCAAATGTCACATGAACAGCACGCAACAATCACGGGCAGCACAGAGCCAACTGGTGCAATCTGAAAACTTTATCAAAGTAACCACGGTGGGAAAGGACACAGCACGGAGAGCTGATGGCCATGCGAGCAGAGCCTGGAGCTGTGTGGACGGCAGGCCCGTGTGTCCCCAGCCGTCCCCGCCCTCCCACACCTGCCCCACCTCCCTCGCTCTCAGTCTGTTAACGTTTACACTCTGCCCAGAGACGTGATTCTAATGCAGGAAGTCCTGGCACACCGACTTGACCCCATGGGTGTGGACCTGCCCAGCAGGGGGTGAGGGTGCCGGGGGGCCTCGTCCCTCAACACTGGTGTCTACCAAGGTGCCCGGGCTCCGTCACTGCCCAGATGCTCCACTGGTTCCCTGCTGCTTCCGTCCCCCGCCCCCACACCAGGGATGGACTCGTGCCGGGAGGTGACACTATGTCATCAAGAGGACAGAAGCAGAACAGACCCAGGAACTCGGGCGCGGTGATCTCCCCCTGCTTGTTCACGTCCCTCTCCTTGCATTCTCTCAGGAACTCGCGCCAGCAGCTCTGGATTCCCTTCCGGAGCTTCGTCTCGATGGGCTCGCAGTTCTGCAGGGGCTGGGCACTCGGCTCCAGGATCGCACTGGCGGGGGTCTAGCAGGCAAGAAAAGAAAACGGTCTTGTAATCTGAGATTTAAAATGGAAGTAATAATAAAAACTTAAGATAAGACTCAGGTTTCGAGGTTCACCATTTCACAAGCAGCATTATTTCAGAAATAAAATGAAAAACCAAAACAGAGATGGTAATTTTACCATTTAATTTCTCTTTCCATCAGTGGGCTATATTTGTGCCAAATCATAATAACCAAAATAGTTTTGGAAATAAATATATAGCCAAGAATCAAATAAAGAGAGATGCTATTTAAATGTATCAATGGGGTGTGTGTGTGTGTGTGTGTGTGTGAAGTGACAATGACATATTTTTCACAAGAAGAGTCTTATCAGAGAAAGGGACTCACTTGTCATTTGCACGGACACTCTCAGAACATCTGATATTTTGAAATGTGGACCGAGTACAAAGCTGTTCTTTGCTTTGTCGTATCTTCCATTTAAAAACAAGCGAACGAACTTCATCTATCCCAGACTCCCCCCGCAATGCCTCCTTGACACGTGATTCTTTAACAGAGTAACAGACTCAACGGAATTCCTGGTCTTTCCCCCCAATCCTGCGCCACCCAAACTTTCCCCATGTCGGTTGATCATGACGCCCTTCTTCCAACCGCTCAGGCCAAAAATTCAGAAGTCTTCCTGGCCTTTCCTCCCTCCCTGTCAATCTCACAGCCCGTCTGTTGGAAATCCTGTTGGCTCCACCTCAAAGATCCATCCACTGGCTGGCCACCAGCTCGCCCTGCCCACCTGGCTCCCAGCCACCTGGCCTCTCACCTGGATCACCCCCGAGCCCCCGTCCCTCCCAGCGCCCCACTCCACCCACAGCCTCTTCCCCACACAGCATCCACAGTAGTCTTTTTAAAGAGGCACACAGATCAGGTCACCCCTCTGCTTAAAAGCTTGCAAAGGCCCCACCCTGGGAGGGAATGTCAAAGTCCTCGTCCTGGCCCCCAGGCCCATGCGAATGTCCTGTGGCTGCCGGAATGGCTATACAAACTCGGTGGCTTAAAAAAACACACACTTCTTCTCTACAGTTCTGGGGGTCGGAAGCTTGGAATGGGTCCTACTGAGCTCGCATCAAGGTGTTGGCAGGGCTGTGTTCCTTCTGCAGCTCTAGGCGAGAACCCATTTCTTTGCCTTTTCTAGCGTCCAGAGGCCCCCACATTCCTTAGCTTATGGCCCCTTCCTCCGTGGTAGAGCCAGCAGCATGAGGTCGAGTCTTTCTCAACTCGCCTCTCCCAGCACTGACCCCTCTGCCTCTGTTTCCCCCATTTACAGACCTTGGTGGTAGCCCGGGGCCCACCCAGACCCTCCGGGAATCTCCTGTCTGGGAGTCAGCTGATTAGCAACTTCAATTCCACATGTAACCTTGACTCCGCTTTGCCGTGTAAGGTGACATATTACAGGTTCCGGAGGTTGGGACGTGGACGTCTTTGGGGTGCTCCTGACGCCCCTTCTTTCTGCTCTGCTCACCATCTTTAATTTGCTAAATACTTATTACGTTTACTGTTTCTTGCCCATCATCCCCCATGAGAACGTAAACTCCACACGGGCGGGGACCTGTGTTCACTCTCAGTCTAGGAAAGAGCCAGCCAGCGCGCGGTGAGTGCGTGCTGACAACGAACGGATCATAGCTGCTGTCCTGGGGCGCTCGCCCGGCACAAGGCACAGCGCTGCCCGCATTATGGACACCATGGGGATCCTTTCACCCACCCTGCTTGGAGACGTGGTTATCCTGCCTGCAGATGAGGCCAGAACCTTGGTGAGGCTGGGCCCCTCCTCCACTCAGGCTGGGCGGCTCGGCCGGGGCCAGGCCTGCAGTTAGACAGGCCTATGCTTGGAATCGGGTCTCTCCGTGTCTAACTGAGGAGCCATGAGCACGTGAGCACACCTCTTAGAGCCTCAGTATCTTCAACTGTAAAATGGGTGTAACAACACCGCCCTCCCAGCGCCTGTGGTGTCCAGCAGGGAGCTCCGCACACAGTGGTATCTACCATGGGGCATCTGCTGTCCTGCTGGATGATGCTGGCAGCACAGCTGACATACAGCATTCTGCTCCCCCCTCACTTCCCGCCTCGTGTCCTCCTTATTCTTCCCTCCCACGTGCACTCCTCCTTTCCACCCATCTCCCCCACCCCCTTCTTCACACCCACCACCCTCCCAGGCAGGTGAATGCTAAGGACCCACCTGTGGGCTCACCCTGTGCCTCGTCCTCAGTCACCCCCACCCTGTGAGAACACTAGGGCCCCCACCCAGTGGGATTTGTGGTGCAAGGCAACACGTGACCCTGTGAGATGGAGAACTCACACAGGGATGGCTCCTCGGCTTTGACCCTGCTTTCGGGTCACCAGTGGGCGATGACTCTGCAGAGACGGTGGGGACGCTGCTCCCTCGCTGGGCCTTCGCCGAATCATCAGTGTCGGGCGGGGTTGCCGCTCTCTCGGAACTGAACCTGCTCAGGAAGTCCAGGTATTTCAGCCTCCCCTTGGCGTTGACGGGCATCTCGTTCCAGAGTCTGTCAAACTGGCAAAGAGGCAGCAGTCATTGCCCAAGGGTTAGTGTGACTCACGGGGACCCTCGTGGCGCTGACGAGGAGCGGGGCGAGAGTCGGCGGGGGTCCGAGGCCCACGTCAATGGGAAAAATTAAAAAGAAAAAAACTCATTCAGCCTGCGCTCAGCGGAAGGCTTCGGAAGACTGGAAAAGCAAAGACAAGAGGGTTATTCATGGCTTCCGCAGGATATTTTTTAATTGAATTGGGCCCTTAGTGAGCAGTTTAAGGCCATTAAATCTTGTGATTAGTCACAGTGACCGAGCTGCAGCATCTAAGAACATTTTAGGAGAAAATGCAAGTCAAACCCCGGGCCGCCTGGATCCCAGGGAAGCCGGTCAGACTCACTGCCCGTCCACCCAGATGCCACACCTGAGCTGTGCAAACAGCCCCTGCTGAGAGGCGGCCCTCGGCCCCCGCGTCTGCACAGCTCATGTCACGAAGGGCACACTGTCTTCTCCCAGGAGGAGAAGGGAGGCATTTGGGAAACTGGAGAGAAGTTTACGGCTTTCTCTCGGTGCTGTCTGACGTCGTGGGCTGTGTCAGAGCCACACGCAGCAAGGACGTAGCAGAATGACTGAAAGCACCTGAGATGAGTCACTTTGGGTGACCTGAGCGCTTTCAGGGAGCAGTGAGGGCGAGGGAGAGAGGGGAGCGTCCAGGCCCTGAAAAACCAATAAGGGTTAGTTTGGGACAATATTCTTGATTCATGCTTTTAACTTTTTATTTCAAAATAATTATAGATTTGCAGGAAGTTGCCAGGATGTTACAGAGAGGTCTCCGGTCCCCTCTATCCTGTTGCCCTCAAAGGTTACACCTTGTGTAACAACTTCACAACCAGGAACTTGACGTTGCTGTGTAGTTCGAGGTGATTTATCACACATGCAGATCCACGGTGCTTTAATTTCGGTCAACGAGGAAAAACTGCTTGGTGGAGTGGAAGTGAGGGACCTTGAAAGGTGAGCATGCCGTCCACAGACCTCACGGTCGCCAGGGGCGGTAACCCGCCACCTGTCTCCTGCAGGAAAGTTCTCCAAATCACTGGGCAGACGACGGGCGCTCTTCTCTCCCTTCCCACGTCATGCTGAAGCCACCTCTGCAGGTGACATCTCTCTGCTGTGGGGACCTGGAATTGGCCACCCCAAGATATGTGGGAATCAGTATTATTTGAGGCTGATTACTTCTGACAAACTGGGACAGGGAAGGAGGCTCTGAGGAATGGAACTTGCCCTTCATTAGGACACATTTACATTTGTAAGGTAAATCTCTATCTGTAAAGGTGCCTCCCTCTCTGTACCAGGAAGAAGAAAGGAGATGACCTTCTCTCCAGAAACTCTTAATCAATACCAAAGGCAAGGACTTAAATCTGCATTTTATTGTGCTTCTCTGGCAACCTCCTGTAACTGACTTCCCTCCCCCTCCCAACGTTGGCATCTCCTTAAAGATTAAGCATCTTTCTTTAGGCTGGGAACCGATTGCGGCGCTCATCTGTGACCGCCCCCCAGCCCGAGGCAACACACCTGCCACCCCATGGCGTTCACTGGGTCAGCAGACCTATCTGTCATTTCCATCAAGTTCTGTGCTGACAGAGTGGCCTTGTGACTATTGTAAAAGGGACATTTCAATCATGTGAAACACCCTGTTTGGGGGTACATAACCACTCTGTGCACCCCACTTCTTCGGCTGCCTTTAAAGGCCCCGGGCCATGGTTCCTCATAAGGCTTTGTTTAATTTTCTCTTGCTATTCTGTCTCATGTGAATTTAATTCGTTCTCCAGCCAGACGAACCCACATTTGGGAAGAGGAAATGTCTTCCTCCCCTACACTGCCCAGCCAGGAAGCTCCCTGAAGGATCCTCGGAGATTCATCTTTGAATGTGAAACGTTTTGCAAAGGGGCTGGCACACAGCAGGTGCTCAATAAATATTCAGCTGCTGGAGGTCCTAGATGATGCACAAGATAAGACCCATCAGACAATGGAACGACGACGCTTCCGAAAGGAAGAGGGACAGACGGTGCTAAACCACATTCGGATCACCTTAGTCAGGAAGGGCTTCAAGGACGAAGAGAAGGGTGCTGCTGTAAGAGGAAGGCGGGCTGACCGCTGGGCTCCTGTTTCATCCAGACTTGGGAGGCAAGGGGCAGGTCTTGTTATTAAGGATAAACACACAGGGTGGGCGTGCATGCCGAAGCAAGCAGTGAAAACTGAAGCACGGAAGGGAACACGTTCACAAAACTGTTAAGAACAACAGAAGTGTCTCCTGTCCGGGCAGGCGAGGCAGGGACCCACCGCCTTCCTGATTAAATCCCAGGATGCCAATGGAGTCAGGGCGGGACCACAGAAACCCTGGTCTCACCCTTTTTTCACCAGAAGGGCCTGGATGCCAAGGGCAGAACAAAGATCACTGGGAGGACATGGACCCGGGTGGGCAGGGAAACGGAAGCCCGCCCATGGCTCTTCAATCCTGACAGGTTACACCCCAGGACACCTAAAGACGCAGTGCAGGCTGGTGGCTGGCGGGGGACTGTGGGGACAGGGGAGACAGCAAAAGACTAGAAATGGGCACCACCCACAGAAGTGGATTCTGAAAAACCACAGGTCTGTGAGCTGAGCATGAAATCCAGGCAAAATCCTGGCGGTCTGAGGACGAGCTGGGAAGAAAGGAAGTTTCCACGTTACTGCAGCAGGATGTGATCTGCTGAAACGTCCCTTTCAAACGCAGAGAAGTAGTCAACTGCCTTCTGAATACGTAAAAATACACGACCTTGAGTTCCCCTTCTGTTTGTGATGTGGAAAGCTGCGGGAGACGCCGCTCCCATCCTAGTAACGAGGAAAAGCCAAGTACCTACAACATCAGAGCTCTTCTCGAGCCCCTCGGAGAGCTGAGGCTGCAGGGCGCCGAGGGGCCTGAATTCCACAGAGCCCCAAGTTTCCAAGGAGAGCCAGACACGCCGGCTCTCACACCGGGCAGAACTCGGGAGGAAGTGGGAGGGTGGGAAGAAATCAGCCGAAATGTTAACAAATTCTAAAGGCCAAGAGTGGGCTGGCACATCAAGCTGGAGTAACTGGGAGACCCAGACACGAGAATGCTGACACTCACCAGCTCTTCCCACAGGCCTCTGCCACTGCTCCCGACGGCTGCACGAGCCCATCAGAGGGGAATAGACGCAAAACACCACCCGCTTCTCCAGACCATCTCCTCACCGGAAGGAAAGCCTTAAACCGCTAGGAGGAGGAGCAAACCCACTCAAGCCCAGGGCCCCTGGGGGAGGGAGAAAAGCAAAACTCTTCACTTCTATGGGGTCGGAACCCTTCCTCCCACCTGCCCAGGACCCAGGCACAGATCCACGGCCCCGGGGAAGGGTACAAGCAAACCCCCTCCCACCCGAGACCCACCACCCCACAGACATGGCAGAGCTGGGCTGCCGTGGACGGGGTGTGGAGGGGCAGGAACATGGAGAAGGTGCTGCCCCTGAGGCCCAGAGGCACAGGCCCCACCTAAAACAGGCTGGATCAGGACACCAAGACATGCACCCACTCCTGCAGGAGCCTGGCACCAAGAGTATGGGAGAGACCCTTCCGGGGTCTACAGATGCGTACGGACAGCCCAAAGCTGAGGATGCAGTAGGAATACAGAGGAAACCTCCGGCGTCCCGGGGCCCACACCAAGCACACGGCAACAGTGATATTCCACACCTGACGCCTGGGCACACCCGGGCCAAGGGCAGCAGCAGCAGAACTCAAACGCAGCTCAGTTACCGACCAGAGGGACACTCAACAGCACCCAGCACACACAGCCTGATAGAAGAGCGGCGCCCGTTTCAGGCAGACGTGCTATTTACACCGCAGTCTCCACTCTTCGTCACCTGGTGTCTGGCATTCGATTAAGAAAAGTTGAGACGCACAAACAAAGGAAAACTGACTTACTGCCAGGAGAGACAGCAATCAACAGACGAGACTCAGAGCTGAGCCCAGAGCGGGAATTACCAGACAAGGACTTCAAAACAGCTACGGCTAAGACGCTAACGGACCCAGTAGAGGGGGTGCGGGACATGCACGAACAGATGGGGAGTTTCAGCAGAGATGGAAACTGTGTTTAAAATGCACCGTCTTGTTCAAACACAGCAGGGGAATTGCGTTGAACAGAAATGGGAAAGAAATCCGTGACAGTAGATGCCAGTGGGGGTGTGGCCCACAGGAGCGAGGGTGTGACACAGGTGGTGGGGGTGGTACCCTCTCAGGAACAGGGACAGATGCCCCCGTGGGAGGTGGGCAATTAGTATCAAACCACCAACTCATTACTTGAGGTGGAAACAGAGGCAGCCAGGTGGAGCCGGAACCGGCCTGTGCTGCCAATGGCACAGAACTTCCCTGGTGCCTGAGGACAAAGCCCTGAGGCCAAGGCAGGAGGCGCCCAGCCCCTAGGACCAGGCCGAGGTTGCTCCAGGAGCACCTGGCAGTGGGGGCCGTGTGAGGGGACACGCCCAGGCGGCTGCGGGTGGGGTGCCAGGACTCATCAGAACACACTCCCGCTCCTGTCCTCCTCCTTGCACCTCCCCACTCGGCTCGTCACAGGGCTTTGGCAGCACGAACTGGCCAAAGGGGCTCACCCCTGCCTTTCTTCCTCCCTGGGCCCTGGCGCCCGGAAGGCACGTGAAGATTAGCAGACGTCTCATCAGCACCAAGAGATGGCGGAAGACAACTGAGAGATCTCTTCCAGGGTCAGGGGAAGACAACTTGGACCTACAGTTCTGTCCCCAGCCAAACTAGCTTTAAGACTGAGGGTGAAAGGGGGAGCCCTCAGGTTTACTCCTCCCGGGAGAGCAGGTGAAGACGCACTTTTGCAGAAAGAAAAGTGAAGCAGCGGCAGGAGCAGGATAAAGGCTGTGCTGTGGGCAGATGGAGCAGGGAAGCCCCAACGACTGACCTCCCTCCCCACCCCGTCCACCCGCAGCGCCCGCCTGTCCACGGCTCTTCTCTGCTCCGGGTCCTCATCCTCTGCTCCCACCCCCCTCACACCCACATCCATCAGCAAATTCTGTCGGCTGCAATCCTGAAACGCATCCACGATCCAAGCCCCTCTGCTCCCCGCGGCCCACCTGACCCAGCTCTTTATTCACGTTACCTGCTCAGGAGCCTCCCCGGATGCCCTGCTCGCGGGCTCCCTCCCCAGTTCCCCATCACTACCCTCTCTCCTGCTTTTTTGGTCTCTATAGCGTTTATCACCATCCAACACACACGTGTCTGACTTACTTGGTTTACTGTCTGTCTTTTCCTAAAAGAACGCAGACCCTGGATGGCAGTCTGGGTCTGTGGCGGGGTGCTGTGACCACTGGCCCGCTGGCAACAGCGCCACCTAACACAGCACTCCCACTGCCCCTGCTTCCGGAATGTTCCCTCTGCCTGTGCCGCTGTCTCTCTCTCCTGTCTCCTCTCGGAGGCAACTCCCGCAATCCCAGCACCGCATCCTCAGGGAAACTGCCCCAACCGCTTGGTCCGGGCCCGGCCGTGTTTAATTCTCCCCGCGTGCTGCATGCCCCTTCACCCTCACAGCAGGGAATGGCATGTAATTACATAAATAATATACAGCTGGTGCGTGACCTCTCTCTACCTCCCTGGACGCAAGCTCAAAGGAAGCAGGCAGCAGGTCTGCCTTGGTCGCCTGGGACTAATGTCACCACTTTGCGCACAGAGGGCCCCCAAAAGGTGAAGGAGGGGATGCACGCTACCTTCTGGTACTCACTGCACAGCCAGGACAGCCAGCTCTGGCCAAAGGACATGCAAGCGTGTCCAGGGGCTTGGTTAGATAGAGACCTCCAGATGGAGTGGGGAGGGCAAAGTGGGGCGTGGGCAGCTCCCGGTAAAGTGTGGTCAGCAAAGGCTTCACTGGGCTTGAAGTGAGTTCAGAAGGCAGAATTGGCCTGGCCAGATACGGGGGGAGGGACAGAGAGACGGCAGCGAACAAAGATGAGCAAGGCTGAACTGCAACTGCTCAGAGTGGAGGACACTTGGAGGACCTGGGGAGTACGTGCCTTCTCATTTCACAGGAGAGGATGCTAAAGCTCAGAGAGGCTGAGTAATTTGTCCCAGGTGACACAGCTGGACTAGTGCAGAAGCAGGGTTGAAACCTAAGTCTGCCCGCCTGAAGGGTTGTTTTGTTCTCTGCCTGCATCGTTCTCACTTCCTGGGGGTGTCTGTTTTAGAAACCCCACATCTGAAATGTTCAGACATACTTAACGGTTCCTTTCCCTAATATGGCGGCATGTTCAGTCCTCACGCAGTCACTGGGACTGACCTAAACTGCCTCGCCAGGAGAGGCTCTCCCTGTAGGTCTCTATCTTCTTAAGCAATACCCAAGTGGACCCAGTTCCGACAGACAGCCTTTTATAACTCGCTTTATGCAGAGCCACGAAGACCCATCATTTTCCAACTCCATCTGCTCTGAAAGTTGCTCTCCTTTTTGAAAGGCTAATTACACCAAAAGATGTGGCACTTCCCCCACTTTAGAGCTCTGGCAGTCGAGAAAGCGGGCCCTTCAGATTCACGATGGTTGGATTTTTTTAAGATGAGTTACGTTTTTATAATGTAGATGAACCAAGTCATGAAACCTGTACTTGAATGCCATCTGACACGGTTGGGACTGTCCAGCTGACGGCATGGGGTCTACACATGTTGAGTGCAAATTACTTCTGCATCTTACTGTGCCAGACACTGTGCCATTCCACCAAGAAGGTCATTGGCTAAGTAACTCATGCGAGGAGAAAACATATGGATCTCTGGGGCTCTTGCTTTCCGTTTACCAGCCTGTATCCAGAAGCATCTTTCCCAAATATAGCACAATTTTTGCTAATCATCACCCAACTCAAACCACGGCAGTTACACCAGATTTTGATGCTGTCGATGATGCAGACTGTATCTGAGCTGTGACCACGTCTTTTTAGAAAGCAGCCTTTAAAAATAAGTGCTTGGTTCTGTCGGCGGTGGGGAGCTCGATGTGCTGGGGACGGTGAAGCTTTGTTAGTGGACAATTAAAATCAAATTCTCCATTACGAAAGCCAGATATGCCAGTGTGTCATTAATTTATATCTATAATTAGAGTAAAATTTTACTCATTTAGACGAAATAAAAAATCCTTATTAGTAAAACCTTTATTAGTAAAACCTTTGTAAGTTGGCCCTATAGGATAATAACTGCAACCGTATTAATTTTAAAGTCTCTATTCATTTATAGTAACAGAGCAGAATTTACAAACAGAGAGCCCGCTGGCTTGCGTGCTCCATTTGGAAACAGTACTTTATTTTGCTTCGCAAAAGTGATGATGCCTAAAAAAGGTGATATTTTAGGGAGGTTATATCTGACGTTCATATTACTAGCGCCTTTAACAAACTCATTCTTTAGGGTGGTGAGTTCAGAGGCCTGAGCGGGGATGGGGGCGGGCGTGACGGTCACCCGTCCCTGTGAATACTGTCAGTCTTGCCCTGCAGCTCTGAGAAGAGGAACCCTGAGGTAGGAGTGGCCCAGCCTGGGAGAGCGAAGGGGGACGTTCCCACGGGGCATCTGCAGGAAGCTCCCTGGGCTGAGCCTGGGCGGAACCAGGAGGAAGGAGGGAAGCTTCTGAAAGTTGCTTCTGTGCATAGTTTGGATTTCATTTTTCACGTGAGTCATTCTTGGGAATGGGGTCTCGAGTCATTGAGAACCGGGGGTGCTGCGGCAGTGCGTCTTCTGGAGTGAAGGGAGATCTGTTTCTGCGATGGGGTCACTGGTGCTCCGTATTATCTGGCTGTTCAGCCACTGGGCTGTCGGGGTGAGGGTGGGGAGCGTGGACACCATCCATTCACCGGGACTTGCTGAGCACCCGCGAGGTGCTGGGTAGTTTTGGCGTTTGGGGCACAGTGAGGAACAAGCAATCCAGGGTGCTGGTCCCCCAACCCCGGCATTTAGCATGATTATTGACGGAAGTCAGTACGCAAGACAGGCCCTTGGGACGTCATTCCTCGGGAGGTGCTCTTGGCCTCCGAAGGTCATGAAGTGCCAAGGAGGCCCAGGGCAGCAGGTGGCCAGAGCTTTGAGCTAGAAAGAGCCCAGCTCAGTGCTTGGGGAGGAGAGACTCTGCCATGCAGTTCTGTGATGGGCAGGGGGACCTCAGAGAGGATGGCCTGTGTCCAGCCCGTGGACAGTGAGGAAGCCTGCTGGGGGTGGGCATGTCACAGAGCTTGGAGCAGTACCCCAGAGCATCCAGAAGCATCAGCAGCACAACCAGGGAGGGGAACAAGGGAGCTGGGGGTGGCGGGAGGAGCGGAGCCAGGCACAGGCGGCAGTCCCCTGCTCAGGGGCGGGCAGAGACTGGCCGCCTCCTTGGATCACACAGGCCCAGGGATGCTCCAGGCAAGAAGGAAGGAGAGTGGTAGCTGGAGCCAAGTTCAACTTGATTTTAAAAATAAAAGTGACATTATTTGTACCCTGATTGAAATGGTGCAATTCATGCCTGTTAGATAAACAGAAGGCTCCTGCGAGTTTTCAGGAAGATTTAAAACAAACAACAGCAGGAAGAGCAAAAACCCCCAAAAGCTTTCAAGTATTTTGAAAATAGAGGACAGCCTTCAACTCTTTACACTCTGGGGAATGGCCGGCCTGATGCTCATTCGACATTGCTTAAAATGATAAACCAAATGCATTTCTTACCTGTTCATCCGTCAGAACTTGGACGTGGCGAGTACAAATGGACCTGAACTCATCCCGGGAGGCAGTGTGCGTTTTCATGGTGTCGAAGTTCTCAAACTCCTGGGCGATGGTGTGGTAATGGGAAGTCACTGCTTTGTGGAGCCGTGCCAGGATCTCCTGGTTCGCCATTTCCTTGGAGGACCTGGGTGGCGGGCCTTTGGGCATTTTCTCAGCCCACTCAGCAGCAGTCTGGGCAAAACAGAATGGAAAATTGATCCATTTAATAAATAATAAATCATTTCTTGGCTCTGGGCCCATCACCCATGGCAAGACCCGGGAGGCCCAGCTTAGTGAGGAAGATAAGCCAGGAGACAAATGAGACCCAGCAGCAGGTCTAAACGGGATCCTGCTTCAGCTCAGACTTAGCTGAAGTGGACGCCTGGGCTGGCCTGCCGGGAAGAAGGAGGAAAAGCGAGTGAGTCCCACCGGGCAGGGCAACGTGCGAGCCAGGCCCTGGGCAGTGAGCGCCCATTCGCCCATTCAGTCTGCGTTTTGGTTCGTTTAACAAACACTTGGAGAGTGCCTGCTCTGAGTGGTAATGGGGATGGTACCCTGACTGCTTTCATTTCTGGACATCAGTTCAGTTGACACTCTCACAGCAGTTAAAATTTGGAAGGCAGTTTTGGTCACTTTTATTCCATTATGCTGCACTGTTGGTAAGTGTCCCCTTTAGTCTGAAGCTTTTGAGACCCACGGAGATGCAATCCTGGGCAGTGCCGAATGCATGCAGTGGGAAGCTGTGGGGTAATGGGGCAGGTCCTACACCCCTCCTTGGGCAGGTGCACCTGGGCCTTGGGAGGCGCGCTCAGGGCCTCGTGACGCTGTCCATGGTGCTGGGAGCTTGGGGGAGGGACAGCCTCAGCCTGGGCTCAGGGACAGCTGTCTGGAGGGAGGAGGAATGGGCCAAGAGGAAAGGGAGGCAACAGAAGGATCTTCGTAACGCCTGTTTAGGCTTATGTGCTGGCAAGAGGCCTCATGCGAGGTGAGCTAGGAGGGGCCTGAAGAGGACTGCAGCCCATGTTCAGCATCTGCTGATGATCACTGTGGTGGACACACGGGACAACAGGAATAACAGGCAAGAAGAAGTTCCTTAGTGATCGTCAACAGATGCTGAAGATGACAAGGCTCTCTGTGTTTATCCTGGAGCCATCAGGAGTGGGCAGTGGGGGCACTGGGCTCCACAAAGAAGTCAGGTTTGGGAGACTGGAGCTCAAAGGGCGAAGCCAGTGGGGGCAGTGAGTCCTGAGCCTCCTGCAAGGGGAATGGGCAGTGCCAGGGAAGCGGCCCTGAAATGCACATACTCGCTGCAATTAGAAAACGCCCTGTGGTTGCTGCATCAACAGATCGGCTCCTGAAGTCAGAGGAAAGGGTGTGGCTATGAGATATGGGAGGGGGACTCGGTTCCGTGAGAACCTAGGGGTGACAATACATTAAAGCTGTCCTTGTACCAGGCTGTATTGAGATACCCTGGGTTTCCCCACATGAAAACCTGTCGTGACTGTTAGCTGTAATAACAATTCTTACATAGTGCCAGCACGTGCTAAGACCTTTACCAGATTACCACACCTAATCCCCCAGCTAGTATTAAAACTTGGTCATGATTCATTTTCAGCAGTTTCACAGGAACATATGTATTGTATGTGACTATCCTTTAGGACAGAGAAGTCTGCATAATGTTACTTTATAAAATTGTATCAAACACAGTATGCTGCTGGGAATATCCTGAAAAACGTGAATACACACACTTACACTCAAACCACAGCCCATCGCATCCTCGATCACCCAAAGGTTAACAGAAGCTTTTAAATACGTCTGTTTGGAGCCATTTGCAAAGTAGGTGAGTGCCCTTTTTTTTTCATTCTAGAGAATAAAGTGATGTTCCTGATGCATCTTATACATTTTCAGACAGTTGAAAATGCAGCCCCCGTATCTAAATACACAGGCATTTCCCTAAACCTTCCAGGGGATGTCGGTCTTCAGAGACTGGAGGACCCTTTTCTGGATGTAGTGTCATGCTTGAAGCCCGTCCTCCCTCTTGTGGCACCTTTGGGGCCTGAGGAGGATGGGCCCCAAGGTGAACATAACCAGAGAGAACACAGGTGGACGCATCCAGCACGGGAAGGCGGGAGTCCCGGGTCCAGTCTAGACTCTGCCTCTAACTGGCTGTGTGACCTGGCACACTAACCACTTTCCCCTTCAGTGTCCTCATCCATCCAGGAGGAACGAAGGCTCACACGAGATGGTGCATGTGAGTCCTCCTTGAAAGTGTTAAAACACAAAACGAATCGGAAATACTATTATTCTAATAACAGAGATGGAAGAATTCTAACAAAGCAGTGTAAGCAACATTAGGTTAATATGCTTTAAACTCCAGAGGAAATGGAATTGTTTTCTAGCAGAATATAGATGACTAAATTTAACTTAAGAGAAAAGCCTGAATAGACAGGTGACCACAAAAGAAATGTACAAAGCAGTTAAAAGACCTACTATCTATCACTAAAGAGGTGTCAAGCCCAGGAGATTTTGCGGGCAGGCCGAATCTAACTTTTAAGAAATAGGTAATTTTTACATTAGTCAAATTATTCCAGAACACAAGAGGGATACATAGTATTATGAAAATATGGTAAAGAAAACGCTTGAAAAAAATAAACCAGTCTAATTTATGGACATTAACGCAAAGACATTTTAAAAAATAAAAAGAAACCCATTAGGAATATTTAGCATCATATTTAAAAATGACACACTGAGGGGCCGGCCCCGTGGCCAAGTGGTTAAGTTCGCGCGCTCCGCTGCAGGCGGCCCAGTGTTTCGTTGGTTCGAATCCTGGGTGTGGACATGGCACTGCTCATCAAACCACGCTGAGGCGGCGTTCCACATGCCACAACTAGAAGGACCCACAACAAAGAATATACAACTATGTACCTGGGGGCTTTGGGGAGATAAAGGAAAAAAATAAAATCTTTAAAAAAATAAAAAATAAAAAAAATAAAAATGACACACCAAAATCAATGAGGGTTTATTCCAATATAAGAATCCTTCAAATCGAAGAAAAACAAATCGTTCACTTCCTCACATTAGCAAGGGTCACATGTCAACAACGGCAAAAAGGCATTTAACAAAATTCAGCAGCCTGGTATAGAATAGAATAGAATGAATAAACTATATAGAAATAAAACGACCATCCCAAACATGAGAGCATTAATCAGACTCTACCTGCAAACACTGAATGGTTGAAACAGTAAAGCACTTCCATTAGTCAGAAACAAGACGGGCGTGCCCACTGTCAGTCTGCTGCCCACCTCTTTAGAGGCTCCAGCTTTTGAAATAAGACAAGAAGATGAAGCAAACAGTATAAACATTGAAAAACAAGATTTATCATTATTTGTGGATACAATTGTACAACTAGAAAATCTCAAGACAATTAGGAAAGTGGCTGGATTCAAGCCAAAAATACAAGAAAGCAATATCATTTTTTATTTTTATTTTTTTTTAAAGATTTTATTTTTTCCTTTTTCTCCCCAAAGCCCCCCAGTACATAGTTGTATACTTCTCGTTGTGGGTTCTTCTAGTTGTGGTATGTGGGACGCTGCCTCAGCGTGGTTTGATGAGCAGTGCCATGTCCGCGCCCAGGATTCGAACCAACGAAACACTGGGCCGCCTGCAGCGGAGCGCGCGAACTTAACCACTCGGCCACGGGGCCAGCCCCTACAATATCATTTTTTATAGTAATTATAACTAGTTAGAAATTGTAGGGCTGGCGTGGCTGAGCGGTTAAGTTCCCACGTTCTGCTTCGGCGGCCCAGGGTTTTGCTGGTTCGGATCCTGTGTGAGGACATGGCACCGCTCATCAGGCCACGCTGAGACGGCATCCCACATGCCACAACCAGAAGGACCTGCAACTAAAATATACAACTATGTACTGGAGGGTTTTGGGGAGAAGAAAAAAAAATTAAAACATTAAAAATAAATAAAAATAAGATTGACAACAGATATTGGCTCAGGTGCCAATCTTAAAAAAAAAAAGAAATTTTACTGCAAAAAAAAATCCACATTCACGTTAATGACAAAGCTATTGAATACCTCAGGATAAATTTCCTATGAAAGGTGTAAGACTTATACAAAGAAAGCGATACATATTCTATTGGGGGTTGTTAAAACAAGACTGGAATCAAAAGAGACACATACTATGTTCCTGGATGTGAAGACTCCATTTCAAAAGATAAAACCTAGCCCCAATTAGAAATAACTTTAATAAAATTCTAATACAAATCTCAATGGCTATTTGGAGGAATCATTAGACATTGAGATATTAAAGGTGATATAGAAAAATGAATATGTGAGAATTGCCGAGAAATGTTTGGAAAGGGCTAGCAACGAACTTTTTGACTCACCAGATAAAATGTCCTAAACTGGATGTAATCATAACAGTACCGCCAGGTCTAGAAATACACAAATAAGTCCCTGACACCTACTCAGGCTGGGAGTGAGTGAGAAGTGAGCCTCTCCGGTGGCCGAGCCATGACATCACAAGGCCTATTTGTTACAGCGTTTGAAAGCAGCAGAGAAGGGCACGGCTGACTCAAAGGTCACCTTGGGTAAGAGTGCCCTGCTAGGCAAGAGAGACTATCCAGGTTTTATAAAGGAAAATTCCTTCTTCTCTCGTCAATCATCAACTTCAAAACATGGTCCTCTGCTTTCCAGAAACTGTCCTTCCAGCAGCTTGAGCCTGGAGTCATCTGCAACATATCTTTCTATTACCCACATCCAAACCACCCACTGATGCCAACGGTTCTGCTTTCAGTATGCATCTAGAAGGTGACCACCCCATCCTCACCTCCTGGGCCAAGCCACCATCATCTTTTGCACGGGTTACTGCAACAGTCTCCCTGCTTCCACCCTCAATCACTTGCCTCTGAGGACAATCTTTTTAAAGCATGCACACTCATGTGCACACACACATACACACACACACACACAAGTATTAAGACTTGTTCTCTGGATGGAGGGGTAAACGAGGGCAGAGCCATAATCAAAAAGCCATAGTCGTTTTCTTCTGAGGATGGTCTTTTGAAAATGAAAATCAGATCAAGCAAAACTCTCAAATGGCTTCACATATGGCTCAGAGTATTGGGGAGAGCTTCACGATGGACCTCCAGCCTGCCCCCAACACTCTCTGACCTCACTGCTGT